CCGAGCCGCAAAGATGGTTAAATCTCTGCTAAATCATCGCGCCATGCTGTGCGCGAAAGGGAGTCTATCTATCAGGTAAAAAGAGACTACCTGTGAGTTTAGACAATCATATTTCACAAAAAGGCAGCGCTCAGACTTGAGAAGATGCACGCCGACGCTACCATTGAAGTACCGCAAAGCTATATACGAAAACACGACCAAACATCGCTATCGATCGGCTGCTAGTATTTTGGGAGAGTATCAAGGATATGAGAATACCAGATTATATGATCAGACAACGCGTACTCCCGTGTTCTCTTACACCTTTCAAAACACTAGTTTCTGGCGCCGATCGATACCCGTCAATAGCAATGGCGTAAATGCACGTCATTGTAAAGTGTGAACGCTGCCCAACGTCAATGGCGTTGCGCTATCCTGGATGCCCCAGAAACACTTTATGTACAACTGAATCGACAGTTTATTTACCAGCCTTTTACACTCTTCCCTTCCCCCAGCACGTACCTTTCGAGTCAACACTATAACATACAGACATGCAGATATCTCACCTTGAATTGATCGTTGTGCGCTGCAATTTGTTCTACCCATGTGAGTAATGTCCGAGTAATGGTTGCATACGACGAGAAGTCTACTTTTTCAACGAACGATGAAAAGCAATCGTCGAGCAGAATTTGTAACTGAAAAGAGAGATGTGTACAATTCCTTCTTTCTTCTAATCTTACCTCGTTCTAGGGCAAAAGCCACTCTTTGTGCGAAACACGACCGACTTTTGGATCGCTTCAGGAGAACTCCAGTAGTGACAGAGCTCCTATCACTACTAGAGTACAGCGTAGCGTCACGTCAGTTAACGCCCCAGTATACAGCGAAGCAAACGGACTGCTTCATTGCTCTCAGGTGAGTACAATATGAAGAGTAAGCGCTGGCTGTTGATTGAGGGTGGCGCCCACTACACTCTAGTGATTCGTGCCCTTCTGAGGATAAACGCAAACAATTCCACCGGACTTCGCGGGCACAAGCCCGCTTCGCGGTTCGCTTTAGCTAACGATAATTGCTGGAAAAATGAATGAAAGAGATGATGTTTCCAGCAGCACCGGGAGCCATTACCCTTTCAACACTAAGGTTTCTGGGTACGTTATGCTTAAATTTCCGAGGGCTGTTAGCTGATCTTTAATTGGCCCATAAGTCATTTTGCATTTCCAAACGCCTACATATGATCCAAACGTTTGGAAATGTTGCCATCAAAATGAGCAGACCCTTTACTCTATCACTGTTAACGACATCTCAGAAACGTGCGGCTAATCCCAAAAACTTGAATGATAATCTCATCTCAGCTCCTATCACTACTAGAGTACAGCGTAGCGTCACGGTCAGTTAACGCCCCAGTATACAGCGAAGCAAACGGACTGCTTCATTGCTCTCAGGTGAGTACAATATGAAGAGTAAGCGCTGGCTGTTGATTGAGGGTGGCGCCCACTACACTCTAGTGATTTCGTGCCCTTCTGAGATAACGGGCCACAAACAAGCAAGGGATATAAGATGGTACGGCGAGCCCTCTGAGCGTCAGAGGATATTCGGGTTCGGCTGCCCGGAAATTTCACAACGTTGGTCAAGCAAAGTCCCACCTAATAACCTTGTGGCACGGTGACAACATTCAAGGAGCAAATAGAGTGTTTAAAAAGCTCTTGAATATACCATGAGAATAGGTACCACGAAAAGAACACAAGAACAGAGTAAGACTAAGAACGCTAAATTCACCATCCGAGTTTGCAAAGAAGACGAGGTACTTGAAGGAGCTTCAGCTGCCATAGCTTCATATTGACTGGCGATCATCTCTAAGGCAGATGCGTAATCACACAGTCTGGTATCGGCGACGGCCGCCAACGTTTCGGCAGAGTACAGAAGATTATGAGGGTACAGAACTATGTGAAGGTGACGTGTATCGTCCACTCATCCTGTTGTACTCTCTCAGAACTCCACCAGCAGGCACTGATCGACATCGACCCTCGTCTATCTCCAGAATCGCAACGTGGTAGTGCGTCGATGCGCGTTACAGCGCGTCAACGCGCATTACACCACATTACAGCATGTCAACGCGAAGTCTGAACGCTGCCGCGGAAGGAGCTGCAGTTGGTGGCAGTTGCAGTAGCTTCAGCTTGAGTTGTGACCCGGTTGATGGATTTATTTAGTGTGGTTGTTTCGCAGGGCTCGGGTATGTCTATGCTGTGTGAATGCTCAGGCTGAAATTCAGTTTAATCTGGTTGATATGTAATTTCGTCTATATGATGGCAATATAATGGCATAACAAGATATTAATGTATAAAATTCTCCATTAACTGTGTTTCATTTCCAGAAGACGGCTGGCCACATGGTTACTCTTCCTTTCACACAACGCTGATATTTTTCAAAGCCATCCGTTGTTGTACATACGTCTTCAGAAAGTTGCCATTGATACCTGTCGGTTATGATTTTCTCTCTCACGTTTTCTTTTTCAGTGCCTCCTGAGAATTTCCAGTGAATATAAACTTGTTAACTATTATTATTTTTTATTTTTTGTTAATGAAAAAATGCCAACTTTTATTGAATGACTAACTTTCGGCTCTACTTTTTCACTCCCATGAACTACTTTCGTTGTTGATTTTTCTGTGGATTTTTAGGTATTTGCGTCTAGTTGTGAGTTGATTATGTGATCAAAGGGAAATTACTAGAATAGTATAAACTTTCAATAGGATGTGTGCTTTTTCACCTGATCAGCGACCGTCATTTTATGATTTATGATTTATTATCGGCATTCTATTGACAGTGGCACACACAAAAAAAGGAAACAGAAAAAAATCTCCGATAATCAACATAGAACTCAAGATCTTGATGCGGTTTGGGGGAACGGCCCTTGTATTCGCCCACCCCAAAACCCCATCTGGAACGTAGACTAAAGCTGCTGCGCGGGCGCGTCTGGACTCTGTCGCTGTCGTCTGAGGTCTCCTCCATCGAAGAATTCTTCCCCTCTCTATCTCTCTCTAGTTCTCTCTCTTGCTTCTCGTTGTTCTCTTCTGTCAGTCGTCTCGTCGTAGTACTGCGCTAGGAGATTCGCTGCCTACTTGGCGCGCCGATGCTCCTGTCGTGTAGTTAACTGCACCCGCATCCGTTGGGTGGCGGTGAATATCCACCATTCCGCCAACCGAGTGAGACTCTAGCCTGCCCCTGGTCGAGAGCTTCGCTAACAATGGCAGGTGGCTGTCGAGGCAGGGCGTGCCTTTTACACAGTGGGGCCGCGAGTCTTGGTGCAGTTGCGAAGAGTGAGAAAGGGCAAAAAAAGGATCAAAATTGCAAAATGCCTCAAAAAGTGGGTGGGATGTGGCGGAGCTTAACTATGTTTAAATGCGTGTACATTCGATGTGTAAAGAATGAGGGTCAAAATGGCAGCGTTGAACAAAGTTTTAAAAGGGTACACGGAAGGTCGCGGTCTTCCTCATATCCATGTTATCTAACTGACTGATCTTTTCTCCACGTGCTCAGTGTTTCTCCGTCAAAAGCAGCTACTACGATTCTCAAAACCACCTATAACAGCGAGCAAATCAATTAAGGTATTTTCAAGGAGTAATTTGTTTCTTCCCAGTCACTGAGTATCTTCTCTCCTGCACTTTTCCCTATTCCCCACCCACCCCCCATTCGGCTCCGTGCTTACGAGCAAGGGCAGCTTCAGGTTGAGAACTGTATGCCTACACGTATCA